CAAGTGCACAAGGGAACTTCACAATCCAGATCCCACCTGACCCCACCAGATTTGTTGCAGTGCCAGGCTAGGGCTACCACAGGCCAAGGGCAGAGACTCTAGTTAACCTGAGCCCGAGTAAAGTCCAAGGTCTCCACCCCCACCTTCCAACCCCTCAGAAACTGCAGTTTCTGACACCATTTTGTCCTGCTCCCCTGGCATCTCCCTCCCTGTCAGTCACTGGTGGACGCAGGAAGCCAAGTGCTGACTAAACACCAGCATCTCCTTGGCAGGGGCTGGGGGTAGAGGGGGCCCTGGAGGGGGGGGAAGGGATGGGGGCCACTCAGCAGCGGCGGCTGTTCTCAGCTGTCTGCAAACTCCCCAAATCCCCGCTGCTCGCTCCCTCCTCTTGGTCCCCACCTTCCCCCGATGAGCTCAGAGCGGCTGACGCAGCAGTTGCTGACAATTAGAAACTTCTGGCCCCTCTCTCCTGGGATGCTGGTGGGTGACTCTCTCCTCGCACAGCTGGGCAACAGGGCCTTGTCAGGCATGACTGGAGGAGGCCACCCACCCAGGGAGTGCCCTCCCTGGTCCACTTCCACCCCCTACCCCTCCCAGGCAGCAGCCACAAGCCTCACATTCAGAACTGGGTGTCTGCTCATAAATTACCTCCTCCCCCCTCCCTCCGCCTTCTCCTTCTCCTTCTCCTTCCCCTTCCCCAAGGGTCAGTTACCAGAAGCAGCAGCTGCCTGGAACAGCCATTTCTTTTCTCTTTCTTTTAACAGGTCATTCTCAGGGTCAGAATGTAAGAAACTTGCCCTCATCTCCTCCCCCAACTACAGGAGGTTGGGGGTGGGGGGAGGAGGGCAGAGGCCAGAAGCTCTTATCGGATTCCACTGAAAAGGGTTCTATTTAAGGTAAGTTGGTTTGGTCTGAGAGAATCAGAAAAGATGCTGGCCAGATGTTGGGTGTCTGCATCAGCTTTCATCTTGCATTCCTTTCCTTCTGGACCCAGTGAGTCACTGTTCCAGCCAACACCCCCTCCCCAGCCAGGTTTGGAGACTCCCACCTCCTTTGGAAGCAGAAGGCTGACTGAGGGACTCCATCTGACCCCCCCCCCCCAATCCTTCTTAGTCTCGAGCAGACCTGGGAGCTCTTAACTCCTTGGGTCCTAGTTCTTGACCTATTTAGCTGCATGACCGTGGAAAGGCAGTGCACCTCTTCAGGTCCACTTTCCTTTCAAATGAGAGCATCAGGAAGAGGGCATCTGCATGCCCCCTTACAACTGGCAGACCTTCTTCTCCTTGCCTTGGCATGAGTCCACTCACACAGCTCATCCACCTCTCCCTCCTGGACCAGTGACGTGACCTTAGACCTGCGTGTGATGCCCCTACTAACACCATGCCACCTTTGCCCTCTGTGGGCTTTGTACAGTACCCAAGGAACGTCTGCCCTCAACATTACTCACAAGCCCACCGCCTGCCACCCACAGTAAGGACTCTGATTACTCACTCTCTTGGAGAAAAACACCAAATGCAATGGCTGATTGGCTAGAAAGGCTTTATCAAATTCTTTAAAATGTTTACATTGAAAGTATTTATACATATACATACTGCAATGGGACTTCGCAGAGGGAGGGAGGGGGAGAACACGGGGCTGCAATTAACAAGTGCATGAGACAAGACACATAGCTGTGGTCTGCTCTGGAAAACTGGGTGCCTTTCTCAAGGCTTGGGAGGAATGGGGACAGTGAGGCCAACGAGGTCAAGGATTAAACTGCACCTGGATTCTGCAGACAAGAGAGGTCTAACTTGCCCCCACTGATTGGGATCTTTCCCCAAATACTTGGAATCCAGCTCAATTGCCTGGCGTGGAGGGATTCTCACAGCAACAGTGCCGTTCCCAACACACACACATCCACCCACACCTACTTCTCCCTAAATCTCAGCATGACAGACTCACCCAAGAAGCCCGAGTTACCACTGGAATATCTGTCCTTATAAATATATTTATATCAGAGAAAATAAGGCACTCTGGGAGCATTACAGCTTGCTCTTCTAGGTCTACATCATTCTAGACAGAAAGTAAAAATTGGTTAGTTTCTCAAGTGAATTAACTGAATAAAGTTAATGCAATAACAAAATTGTTCCCTACCCAGCTTTGAGGCACTGTAAGAGCTAAGATGAGGCACAGGAGAGGCATGTGTCTGTATCGCCTGCTCCAAGACTCCCTGTGGCTTTGCCCCTCCCCCACCCAGGCCATTTATTATTGGTGTTCCACCTCCCCTCTGTTCCTGAGTAAAGGTCGCTCCTGGATTTGGGGCAAACCTGAGGATGATGATGAAGCCCTGAATAGCTGTGACAAGAGCTGCCTTGGGGCCAGTGGGGGTGCTGCAGTGGGAGGTAGGCTGGCCGCCTAGGTGAAGACACAGGGAGAATGCTAAAGCAGGGTCACCAGAGCCAGGGGAGCCCTTAATTTGTGCAAGCCAAGGGCTTGGGGGCGTGGATAGAACCACGTGCACTTTCCAGTTAGCCCTGACAAGCCAACTCAGGCTCCTCGGTGACACTGGACAGGGTCATTCCTGGGAGATCAGGCAGGCTCTATATTTGGACACGAGCTTCCCCTCACCCCCAAGATTCCCCACCTTGGGGACACTCCCTTGGAATGTGCTAATTTCACAAGTGAACATGAATCTACCTCTATCTGCTGGTGAAGATCAGAAGTTGGGCCCAGGCGGTCCAGGCTAAGTTAGGCCACCCTGCCCCCATCCCCTACCCGCTACTGGCCTCTAAAATCATCACTAAACTTTGCATTTTGTAGTTAGAGGATTCACAAAGACACATGGTTAATTGCATAGAGTCCTTTCTTAAATAAAAAGCATGATTTTTTGTTGTTGTTGTTGTTGTTGTCGTCTCTTTCCTGGGGCACATTTGCATAAACAGAGCCCAGAGGACCTTTCTGCTGCCTGGGACTGGGAGCCCCACAAGCCAGGGTGGCTTAAGCTGGGCGGTCACTGGTACAAAGCACAGAGGTTGGTTGCATAGATTTTAATGAGAGCATTGGGCAGAGCTGTGCAGTTGCACTCCGGGACTTGCAGATCATTACCAAGCCAGCTGTAGAAGGAGAACACAGCACAGCGAAACCCTAGGAGGTCACTGAGCTAATGATCTAATCCTACCTTCGGCAGCCAGCCCCCTCTGCCCCCTCCCCCAAAGCCCTTCCCACTGTGGGCTTGCACATGGATGTGATATGTGGATTCTAGATACCCAGAGAACACTGCCCCTTCTCAAGGTCACAACTGTGCAGGGAGGGGCTGGCTCCCCTTTCTGAAGTGGGGGTGGGGGTGGTGAAGAGCACAATTCAGCCAAAGCAGTTGAGTGTAAACACCAGACTGGTCAGCCCCAGGTCTCACTCTGGGCTCAGGGAGGGGGGATGGCTCCTCAGACCAGAGAAATGCCGCACCCCTACCCCATCCCGGCATGCTTAGGGCCCAGCTCTGCAGCAGGAACACCGTTCTTCCCCTGGCAGCTGGGAGGCTGGCTCCACTGCCTGGACCATTTGAGGTCTGAGACAAATGCCCATTCTTATGCTTCCAAAACGCAGGCTGGGAAAAAGGCTGTGAAGCGGCTGCAGAGCCTGATAAACAGGGTGAAACCTGAGCTGAAGACCTCTGATGGTGGGGGGGGGGGCACAGATGAGCTGGACTGCCATTCCTCAGCTCCCCCACTTCATCCCCCCAATCCTCGAGTTCAAAGAAAAGGAAATACAGGAGAAGCAATAGGGGAAGACAGGCACAATCTCCCAGTGATTATCCATACCCTCATCTAGCCAGAGGGGTTTCTGTGAGCTTTGGCAATCACTGCAACTATTGACTCTACTGGATAGAGAGGCAGCCTGCTTCTCTTTGTTTCAATGCTCTGAAAACAGGAGGGGCAGGATTCTGCGGTCTAGTGAGGTCAGACGGGGGAACAAAGCTCCTGTTAGGCCAGTTCTGCTTACTAGCACCTCTGTGTTAATCTTGGGGAGGGGGAGAGCGGTGGCACAGAGTTAAGACATGCCACCCGCTCCAATCACCAGACGGGGCTTGGCGACAAGGGCAGAAGACCTCTATCCTTTCATATTCCCCTAACCCCTACCACTGACAGACCCCTTAAGGCAGCAGGGACTATAATATGGAACTGGTAGACTATTGCCTAAATTTGGGGGATACAAACAGGTTAAAGATGAGAAGGGCTAGAAAAGACTTATCAAAAATTAATTTGGGGTGGGGCAATGCCTAGAACGCATTTAGAGAGGTCTATTGATCAGGGTGGGTGGCTCCAGACTATTTAACATTGTAGACTGGTGCATACATTCCCTAAGAATCCTTTCTTCTATTAAGCACAAAGCCTCTGAACAGGCCAGGAGAAATTCTTATCCCTCTGAAAGCAGTGTTAGGGACAAATCCCTATATTTTGTGAGCAAAGCACAGGAACTGAAAGATCCCTAAAGTGGAACTCAAGACCTGAGTTCCAGTATCAGCTAGGTCCTGTGGGACCATGGACAAGTCCCGGAACCCTGGTTTCCTTTTCTAATTTGAAGGTGAAAGGCCTGTTCCGAGCTCCCAGTGTATGAGTGGTGCAGGCAAGGCTGCTGGAGGGCAGAGGGGTGGGGGAGCCAGGCCCAGCTCTGCTGCTCTAGAACCTGGAGCAAATCCTCCTCCCCATCCTGTTTCCCCCTCAGTAAGAAGTGATTTGTTCTTTCTTGCCTTCTTGGTGTCACACAGAGAAAGAATCTCAACTCCCAGCTCTGCCAGCCTGGCATTGTCCTTACTGAGCCCTCTGGGACTGGATGGGGACTTCTGGAAAGACTCTTTCCAAGGTTTCCAAGATGCAGGACATCCTTTCCTCCTTCATGACACAGTAAAAATGAAGGTGATGCTCCAGAGGGAGGGGCCTAGCAAAGCACAGAACAATCTTACCGGTATCAGGCTCGGCCTCCACACCCGCTCCATGAGAATAATGGAAATGGTAGGCTACGCTGGGGACTCTGGTGTGGGTGACCCTGCCTGGCCCAGCCTGGAAGGGAAGACTGTTGCCCGCCAAGATCGCAGCCCATTCCTTATGTGGCCACTGTGGCGGCAGGGATGACGGCAGAGGACTGAGCGCTACCTGGTTCCTGAGAGTGTTCCATGCCATGCCAACAGATAGGTGGGGGAGCCAGGGTCAGCACTACTCTGCCTCCTGCTCCAGGGCAGGGGCTAAGGTGAGAATGAGACCCCCTAGGCACAAGACAGGTTTAAAGTATCCCCAGGATGGCCACTAAAAGGCACTTTCTTCCACTTACGGAAGAAAACACAATTGAAAGGTGGTGCTGAGAAGCAACTTAGCAAGTGAACGGAGAACAGGATGCTGATCTCCTTCCTGCCTGGCCTCTCCAGACCAGGGAGGATGCTCCTGGTGACTTCACAGGCTTAAGGAAAAGTGAGACAGGGAGAACACACACAAGAGGTGTGCACAAAGCACTTGGGTGCATCTTTGGTTACTCTGGGGAAGGAAGCCGATGGCTCCGCTGGGCTCTGCTGGGGGGCTCAGAGCAGAACGTGGAGACAGTGCCGACGGGCACAGTTAATCAAACCATTCGTCCTCATCAAACTCCGAGGAGTCGTCCTCAGAATCGCTGTACTCGACCGCAATTCGTCGGGCCAGGATGGTGGCTACGTCATTGCCCACCACATCCCGTTTCTCCTGCTCTTGCTGCTCCTCCACCTTACGAAGCTGGAAGCCTGGCCCAAGAGACAAGAGCAGAGCAGAGGGAATCAGGCGGGAGCTGGGACGGTTTTGGCCCAGGGCATGAAAACCTCATTAGTCCTGAGGGGGCCCGGCAGAGTTGAGTAATGCCAGGGGAGGCCCCTACAGGCCTAAGGCATGGGGGGTGGGATAAAGAGAAAAATGGAAGGACAGGGGAAGGGGGAAATGGAAGGGAGAGAGAGAGAGAGAAAGAGAAGGACAGGGGAAGGGGAAAATGGAGGAGACAGAGAGAGACAGACAGAGATACAAAGAGAGAGAGAGAGATAAGGACTGGGGAAGGGGGAAATGTAGGGGAGAGAGAAAAAGGAGAGAGAGAGGGAAAGAGAGAAAGAAATAGGGGGGATAAGGGAGAGAAAAGAACAGGGGAAAGGGGGAGAAAAGGGAGAGGGAGGAGGACAGGGGAAGGGGAGAGAAAAGGGAAGAAGCAAGAAAAAGGGAGAAAAGGGGAAAATAGGACAGAAGTGGAGGAAAAAAGCAAGGTAAACACGGCAAGAGTTGGAGTACCATCAACAATTACCTCAAAAGCCCCCTGTGCCAGGAGTGATCCACCTCAGCCTACCAGGAATTCCTCCTTTCACAGTTCCTTTACTTGGAAAGACTGACCCCCAGCTTCTTAGAGAACTTGCCACCTCCCCACCATCCCATGGGCAGCCAAATCATGTTAAACTGAATCTCCTTTGTGACCGTGTAGAAGGCTATGTCTAAGTCCAGGCACTCTCTGGATAAAGAGCTGTGCAGGCCTTGTTTCTGTCCCTGGTAAACCATAAGCTTCTTGACAGCAAAGAGCATATACTGTCGGTATGCCTGGGGATGGTAAGCCCACTAACACGACTCTTACACTCCGTGGGGAGGTGAATTAGTCTTTACCGACGGTGAGATGACATGGCTAACTAGTCCAGGAAGCCGTGCAACGGGGCCTTCTTCAACACCATGAAGGAAAGAAATTCAAGTGGGAAAATCCAGCAATATCAATTTCTAGCCTCTGAAAATCACAGAAGCAGTCCTGTAGGGGACTGTAGAGCTAAAAGGGTTCTCAGTCCACTCCATGCCTGAACAGGAATTCTTCTACCACATGCCTATGAAGTGGTCATCCATCTTCCAGCTTCAAGTCTCCAGATACAGGGAGCTCACTACTTCCTCAAGCAGCCCATTCTGGTTTTGGCCACTTCTGAACGTCAGGAGGTTTTTCCTTTTTCCGCCTCCCTTTAACTTGTGTCCACTGTTCGTAGCTTTGCCCTCTGGGACTAAGAAGGACAAGCTAAAAACCCTTCTACATACCACACTCCAACAATACCAAAGGTTGGGCTGCACCTTTTCTATGGGGAAGGTTAGAGAAATGCTACAGACAGACAAGGCACAGAAGCCACAACAAGAAAGGGATTTACCTTGACGAATGGCTGAAAGCAAGTCACTTCGGGCATCATTCACAGGTGGCAAAGATGACTTGGGTTTGGACGTAGCGCTATCAGAGGGTGGCGGCGGCGGGACCAGCTGACCGTCGCTGCCACTGAAAGAAAGGGGTGGAGGTCCAGGGGGAGGAGGAGGGGGAGGAGGTGGGGGTGCCCCACCAGTCGGCTGAGCTATAGGAAGAGGTAGAAGACAAGGGTAGTCAACTGCTGGGGGTGGGGGTAGGGGAGGAGGAGCAGCAAAATCAGGGTGAGGGGGGAAAGATGGAGGAGAAGGAGGTGGTGGTGGTGTCACTGGAGATGCAAATCCAATAGGTGGTGGTGGTGATGGGACTCCCGTCAGTGGTGGTGGAGGTGGGGGAGCAGGAGGAGCAAAGCCTGGTCTAGGGCCAGGTGGGGAGCCCAGAGGTGGAGCTGGCGGTGGGTGGCTCGGACTGACAAGACTGGATCTTTTAGGTCCAGCTGAACCAGACCCTCTCTGATTGTCTGCTGGGTAGCTGTGGAAGAAAGAAAACAAAGACACTATCACTATGAGATGGAACTGGAGAAGACTACCATTACACTACCTTCAATTCAAGTTAATTTAAGGGAGACAACACGATTTCATTTCCAAGAAAAGGAAATCTTTAGTAATCCTCCTTTTCCCCAATGCTACTCCAAATCTACCAGCTCTTACTGACTTTCAACTCTGTGGAAAACTTCAGTGCCTCTGTTTATGACTAAGGAGGAAGAATGGCTACCCAAAGGCTAAAGAGAAACATCATTCACTCATTCATTCATTCAATCAACAACAATTAAACGCCCATTTGGAAGGCACAATTCTATACAAATAGAGACATAACAAGGACCCTGGTCTCAAGGAATTTATACCTTATACGTGGAAAAGATATGTCCACGAGTGATCATATTATAAGGGAGTACATTTACTCTAAAGGAAGGTTCAGGTAAAATGCTGAAAGAAATCTGAGGGAGGGCGGTATCAATTTCATTGGGGATGAGGCAGGGGACAGGGGCATATGCCAGGAAGCAGAGGTCAAGGACAGCAAGGAGGAATGGAATCTGGAGTGGGCAGTGAAGGAAAGGTGACATTTCAACAAAGCGAGATAGAAGGGAAATCTCTTCCAGGTATGGGGGAATGGCATGAACAGAGGTCTAGAGAAGGGAGAGGAGCAAGGCAGACAAGATGAGAGACGGGGATAAAGGATAATTGAGTTTGAGTGGAACAGAGTATACACGAAGGGGAATTGTATACGAAGAGGAATTGTATACGAAGGCTGAAAAAAGACAGTGCCAGCCTGTGGAGGCCTTGAATGCCAGAATTATAAGCACTATAAGCAATGAGGAACCACTGAAGTTTCCTGAGTTGAGTGACATTATGAGAAAGGGTCTAGAATGGAAGAAGTTAGACTAAATAGGGAGTTCTCATAATGATCTTTGTGAGAAGAGATAAGGACCTAGACCAAAGAGACTGCCCAGGTATTTGAAAGAAGGGACAGACACAAGATATTCTAGAGAGTGGTAAACCTTTAGTAAAGGTTGTTAGCATCAACCTTTCTTCACAATGGATTGGACTTGTTAAGTGATGCAGAGGGAAAGGTCAAAGGTGACCTAAAGTTACTATTTTGGGGGACTGGGAAAATGGGGCTGTCATCAAGACATAGAAAAAGTCAGGCGGGGCAGGTTTGGGGGAGAAAGTAAGCTCAACCTGGGACACGCTGACTCTGCCATCACTCAGGTGGGAGGACAATCGGAAGTACGTGATTGCACTTCTAAGGAGAAGCTAGAGAGAGACTAGACCAAGTGTGAAGACAGAAAAAAAGATGATCAAGGCAAGAACCATAGTGGATGCCAACATTTAAAGGGCTGAAGGAACATTACAAACCAGCAAATGAAATAGAAGCACAAGAGTAGACTTCCAAGGAAGCAAGAAGGAGGGGCAGTCCACAGGCTCAATTAGCATAAGTGGTTTAAAGAAAATCAAGACAGAACTAAGACCACCGGCTCCAGCGATAAAGAGGCTGCTGGTGACCTTGGGGGCCAAAAAATAATTGACTGAGTGGTAAGGAAGTAGTGGCAGCAAGAAGAAGGCAGGTTGGGGGGATGGGGGAAAGGGAGAGGGAAAGGGTATAGGGGAGGGGGGGAGACAGAGAGAGAGAGAGAGAGAGAGAGAGAGAGATCGATTCCAGGGGATATAGGGAAAATGGGTTGAAAGGTACAGGTGACAACATGAGGAATGACAAGCAGGGCCAGGTCATCCTGCAAGGAAAGAGTGTAGGTCTGAGGCCACTGAGAAAGCAAGAGGTAAATGCACCAGAAAACTGCAATCATTTACCAAAACTAGTTATGCAAACCCTTCTCAACCTGTATCCCTCTAAACAACAGTGCTCTTGGAAAATCTACCCAGAGGAGAGTGGAAGTGAGGAGCACCTCACCACTCGCTGGTTATTTGGGAAAAGATGCCTTTGAGAGGAGGAAATTCACAGCCTCTGGTCGCCATACCATTTGAAGAGCAAAAACTGAGTTTAATGTTCAGGCTACTCAAGGAGATTTTATGCTGCCCCATTTAACACCTATTCCTGCTCAGTTGACAACATGGAGGTACATATAGAGTAACTACCAAAAAATGAGAAGGAAACTACAAAATAGGACCTCTGATAAGGCCAGTTCTCCCACAAGAATGGGGCAAGAAAGAATCTGAATGAAAATACAAATCCTCTCCATGCCACAGTCACAGTCTGTCCTTAATTAAAATCGCTCACATTCACTGCAACACTGATGGGGCCTGAAGGACAAGCCGGCTGGCCAGATGTGAGTGGGTTAGGAGATTCAGAACAGAGTTTTGATTGGGCATTTCTTAAACCCTGCTCTGAAGAACTCAGATATTTCATGTGATATGAACAGGGGTTCTTTGCAAAAATGTCTATGGTGAGAATCTTTTCCCCCTCTGAAATATCAAACAGAGACTGCTGCATCACAATTCTTGTACAAAGAATTTTGGAAGGGGCAAAAATGGGCTTCATTTCAATTCATTTTACTCTAAATTTTACCTGAGCTTCATGGTGCCAGATTTCCAAGACCAATATTTATGCATTCTATCAATACCTTTCAAATCCCAAAGTGTCATATGGTCAAATTAGCCTGGAAAGCACTACGTGATTTACTACGTGATTAGACAATAAACTCCTTGAGGGCACAGACCCAGGTATAAAGCACATTGTTCTATACATAAGAAGCATTTAAATGTCCAATTAACAAAAACCTTCAAAGCAAACAATGGAAGAATCAGAGGACTCTAAACTTGAGCAGCTGACCAGCTAAGAAATGAAAATTCAACCCAAAAGACAGAAAGTGATCCAGGCTCAGAGTGATGGTAAAGAACATGATTCTCCTGAAATGAGACTAATTCAGAGGCTGTTTGTGACCCCACTGCAAAGCTCTGAGCCACACTCTCATTTCTAAGGGCTTTCAGCATCATTCCTGTTCAGACACTCCTTAGTGAAGCATCCATTTGGGCTCTGTGTTGGCCACATAAATTCTCCGACATCTCGAGGGCCTGGCCTCCATCAGGAGCTGGCAACAGAAATGCTGTTTCCATGCAGCAAAGTGATTTGGGATTAGTGAGTCAGAGAGCAAGGGAAGCAGGGTCTGACAAGAAGACCAAAGGATTTAAAGAGCCGTGGTTCTTCAAAACACTAGGACTGGAGCCTTCAGTACATGCTAACGTCCTATCAAACAAGATTCAAGGAGAAAATGTCTCTCTCATAGGCTCCATCTAAGTGATGAGCTAACAGTTCCTAGGGAAGAAGGGAGCACACGGTGCATGGAATAAATCCACAGTATCTCTAAACTCCATGCACATCATTACTTTCAACATCCTCCGTCACAAATCTCTGCCAGAATGGCCGATAAATGCCCAATGGGTAGATTTCTGAGTGTCATCTCCTCTCCCTTTCCCTTCTCAGCTTCTGTTAGAGATGCTAACAAGCTGCAAGATGGACAAAAGGCAATAGAAAAGAGATGGTGAAAAAGTGAGGGATCTGGATCACACATATACCACATTCAGCCCTTGGGTTGACTGGTTAACTGTTTGCTCAAAATTTCTTTGACAGTCTTTATTTTAATGCATTATATTTTATGTTGAGCTGCAGCTAAGAAATTGTGATTGATTAGCACAAGACTTGATAAATTTTTTTTTAATCTAGGAGAGTAAACAGCAAATTATAGGAAGCAAATAAAAAAATGTCAGTTTTTGAGGAAAGAGAACAAAAAAGGCTGGGGAGTAGAAGGAAAGCAACATGTTGCCACAGGACACTGATTTCTCAACATTATTCTAAGGCCAAAATTAGGCTTGTGAGAAGACTCAAAGTCACAGCACAGCTTAGGGCACTGGGCACAGGCCTGAGTCATAACACCTTGGGCAAGTCACTTCTCTCTGAATTCCAATTTCCTTGCTGCAAAAGTGGGAATGAGAACACTCAGACTACTACGTCATGGGGCTGGTGAAGAAAGTGCTTTGTAAATTTCAAAGCATTATAAAAATGCGAAATGTGATCATAACTAACATTTATACAGTACTTTGAATCAGTTTTCAGAACACTTTCCATACATTATTTTATTTGGGCCTCATAACAATCCTGAGATAAGTGCTCCAGTTACTACAGAGATTATCACCTTAATTTTACGGAGGAAAACCCAGACTCAGAGAAGTTGTGGCTTTCCCTTGGTAACACAGCCAGCAAGTTATCAGGCTGTGTGTGACCTCAGGCACTCCTGGCTCCAAGGTCAGCACTCTGTCCACTCTGCCAAGCAACATACTCATTGCCCACTACAAAGGCTCAGAGAGGCAACTCAGCACAGTGCACTTAGAGGAAAATACACAGGGACCAGATGCCTCATCATTGGCCCATCTTTCTCCCTTCCCTCTCTGATCTACAGCAGGTAAGAAATCTAAGGTGTCTGTCCCTCAAAGGTTCCCTACTAATGTCCAAAGCTATGGAATGTGTCCCTTTAATGACCACACAGCAACAACGATAATGACAGAGCTGGCTCATTATGGATTCCTTTTCAAATTTGTGGGACAGCTTAACTGGGTATGACGTATATTCCAAGGGGTTGCCCTAATCACTGAGCTCTTCTTTGCGCTTCCCTGGGGTAGCCAGGGGATGAGGTGGGGAAACAAAGTTTACCTGAACTCCGCTGGCGGCGGTGGCAGGCTGTCGTCAGGGAAGGAGGGAGAGGGCGGAGAGGTGGAGTCTGACTGGGGTGGAGGTGGGTAGCCACTTGTGTCCACACTCTCTACAGAGCCAATGCTGCCGTTCTGGTACACCAGGTTAGACGGATACCTAGAAAGAAACCCAACACCACAGATGTCACTTTCAAGGATCAAAATGTTCTCTTTTTCCTTTCCCAAAAGGAAACTTCTAGATGACCTCCAGGCAGGCAGTATCAGGAAGACATTTCTAAATTACAAACTCCCCAGGAAAACTCAAGGGCCAAACCCAATGAAAGTTACCCCCAAAAGGGCCACCTCTAATTTTGTCTCAAAGTGGAACAGAGTTCCATCGTGGCCCAGGTGAGTCACAGACCAATGCTGGGAAACCCTTCTGAGCTACACTACTCTCTAAACTGGAACCAACAATTCAAGCACCTCGTTACAGGGTCACAGATTTACAACTGGAAGGGACCACGGTGGCCATCTAATCTAACTCTTCCTTGGCAAGTGAGAGCCCTGAGGTGCAGGGAAGTTCGATGCCTTGCCCCAGGGCACACAAGTAGCCAGCATCAGAGGTGGGATTTGAACCCGAGTCCTGTGTGATGCCAGAGACCGTGCTCCTTCCACTGGACCCACCATGCTGCCTTCCTCAAGTACATACAGAAATTCCAGCTTTCTTTGTTGCCACTGGATTTGAAGGGTATTATTAATAGCATTATCACAGCACCAGAGGATTGATTTTAGAGCTGGGCAGAACCTGAGGGAGAGCATCTTGCCAGTGCCTTCATCTACAGATGAAGAAATGGAAGACCAGGGAAGGTCAGTGATTTAAGGGAGGCCACACTGTTTTCCGTGCTGTGTTACCCTCTTCCACTTCTGTTCTTACCACCTATGAGTAAGATTTTAAGAGAGTGTGACCTAAGAAAGGGCGTAGCCTGAGAGAGTGAAACGTAATAGAGAGAACACTGGACGTAGAAAGGAGAAGGAGGTTTGAATGCTGCCCTGACATTGAGCAGACCCAGTCCTTTAACATTTTCAAGCCTCAGACTTTCTCATTCATAAAATGGGCCTAATACCATTCACACTCACTACCTTGCATAGTTATTGCAGAAAAGTGCTCTGTAAACCTGAATGCACAACATGGATGTGAATTATTTTATTATCTTATTTTGTTAAACCCTCTACTCAAAGTGTTAAGTGAAATAGATGCCTAAGGCCCAAGGCCTGTCTTGTGGCCGAGGGAGCCACTGAGGACAGTGAACACACAAAAATGTGACAGGCAAACAGCATAATTTTGTAGTCAGCAAACCTCTGAAATGATCAAAGGCCAAAGGAGGGTTTCCACTGGGAAATAGCAAAGAATGAACCTGAGCTACTGAGAGGTAGTCAGACCCATATGCTTCCTGCCAGATCGCAAGTTAAATAAAATGAGATGCCAATTAAAATAAGAATCTAGTTGGGTTCACTATATGAAACACTGGCCATGTCCCTTAAAACCAGGCCTCAGGTGAACTGGCTTTTGGGAAGAAAACCAACTAGCCAGAGGCCCTAACTCATCATTCATCTGCCCTCTCCCACCCCATCATCACCTCTACCTGCACAATGCCTGAGACTTGCCCAAAACACAGACTTGAAGAAGACAGAAAGAGGCCACAACCATCACGATGATTTGACTTGGGAAGTCCTGAGAGCACACCAGCTCACCTATCTTAGGTGTTATGGCAAAAATATATCAACAAAAGCATAACTGGGTTCAGCTGGCCAGGAGTTTGGGGTAGAGGATAAAGAAGACCAGGTCCAAACTTTAGCCTTTTCTCGTCCTTCAATAATCTATGACTTTGTGGGTATACAGGTTCTTTTCCCACAGATGCAGGTAAACGCCCCTCAGCCACACCTGGGCAGAGAGTTGTCCACACTCAGATAATGAGCCTGAGTGAAATGAATTCGGTTAGGCTGGTTTTTAGACACCACACACAATTCATTGCTGGATCTCTGCAGCTCGGAAGGTTCTACAGGAATTTGGAGCCCCAATGGAATAACCTCAAATAACAAAGGACTGGGTCACCTGAACAGCTAGGTGACATAGTGGCTAGAGTTCTGGGCCTGAAATCAGGAAGACTCATCTTCCTGAGTTCAAATCTGGCCTCAGGCACTCTCTAGCTGTGTGACCCTGAGCAAATCACTTCACCCTGTTTGCCTCAGTTTCCTCATCTGTAAAATGAGCTGGAGTAGGAAATGGCAAACCACTCCAGTATCTTTGCCAAGAAAATCCCAAATGGGGTCATGAAGAGTTGGACCCCGACCGAAACGACTGAACAACAACAGGTCCCTACTTTGGGGCATTATGGAAAACTGTACTAAAGGCCTCCAGACTTCTGAATAATAGAGGGGCAGGAAGCAAACTCCCCTCTCCCCCTTTCCCCCAGGCAATAAATGGCCATATCTTGGGTTTGTATGCCTGTAGCCACTCACCTTACAGGATGGTAACTAACTGAACCAGGTGGAACCAGAAAATAAAACGGTCATTTTTACTGGAAGGTGGAAGCTAATTGTTGTTTTTCAGTCATGTCTGACGCTTCGTGACCCCATTTGGGGTTTTCTTGGCAAGACACTGGACTGATTTGCCATTCCCTTCTGCAACTCATTTTACAGATGAGGAAAGTGAGGCAAACAGAGTTAAGTGACTTGCCCAAGGTCACACAGCTACTAAGTTTTTGGGGCCACATTTAAACTCAGGAAGATGAGTCTTCCTAACTCCAAGGCCAGTTGTCTATGCACTATATCACCTAGCTGCCAATTTCCCCACAGAGAAATTCATTTTCTTCTCTTTCCATGCTTACCACTCTTTAAAACAAATCTCTTAATTTCAGGAAGAAAAATGCCAAGAGTGACAATTTCAAAACTCAAGTTCTCCACAGCAGAGTCATCCCTAGAAGCAAGAACAACTCAAGCCTTTCCTTTTGTCTCTGAGACACCTACCTGGTATCAGGCTCTCTGACAGCCAGGGCGTGACACCCAGAGAGGAAAAATGGAAAGGACGGTGCTGCTGAGCAGGACACAGTGCCTGGGCTTTCAAAGTCCCCAAGGTCAAAAACTCGACTTCCAACCACTCGCGCATGTGTGCAAGAGTGTGCATATGTGTGTATGTGTGTGTGTGTGTGTGTGTGTGTGTGTGTGTATTTTCATTTTCATTTTATTTTATTGCTTTTTGGTGAGGCAATCGGGGTTAAGTAACTTGCTCAGGGTCACACAGCTAGTAGTGTCAAGTGTCTGAGGCCGGATTTGAACTCAGGTCCTCCTGACTCCAAGGTCAGAGTTC